TTTCAATATAATACAGAGGTGAATCATGGAAAGTGGTTTGGGACAAGACATAACTACCCCTTTTGGAGATCTATAGTTCACAAGGGCGTTAATATAATAAAGGTGCTGAGAAATCCTGTATCATAAAAACCTTTTTGAAGTCAAAGGTTTTTGTTTTGGGGAGGCACAAAATACGTCTACTATGGCATAACTATGCACATCTTGTGTTCAGGGAAACTACCTAAATAAATTCGTTATAAATGAACACCCATAATGTACATGAAAAAATATGGGTAATTCTGAAGTTTTCTCAACCACAAAAATAATTTTTTAACAAGTTTCCACTTTCAGTCTAGAAAACTGTTCACCCAACAATGTCCAACTCAAATATCACCTCATCTGAAAATCTCGACCCCAGTGCTCCAGGTATTACTAATTACTCCTTTCTCCTGGTTCAGGTAGGATTTTATTTATATTTCTACTACCTTACTTATCACATCATAAATCATTGTGCATCCTGTGGGTCTCCCCTGTTAGCTTGTGAGCTCCCTGAGAAAAAGTTGATTATATTTTCAGTACTTTGAACAAGGGACAGACAAGAGCTTCATACATGGTAAGTGAGTGATTTCACTAGGGACATTACTTGCCAGAATTCAATATCTGAATTTCTAAAATCTATACTGATATCCTACTAACACAATAGAACTGTTAGCTTCTCTTCTAAAATTCTCCTCCATGACTGCCAGCTACTGTCATGTTAAAACTACTCAGTTTTGATGTGCTCTCTGATCAATCCATTCATAGGTTTCCTTAGGAAATTACTGCTTGTTTGTTGCTTGTGCTTTGTTTCCTATTTTGGAATGCAGGCTCAGGACCTTATTCACCTGGGAGCACTCCTCCGCATACTTCTGGAATCAACTAAAGCATACCCTTTCTGGTGAAATCGGTGTATTCTTCCAGCCTTTTGGAGAAGTCAGAATTTCAAGTCACGTGTGTACCAGGCACTATACTAAGTGCCAAGGATAGAAAGATGAAGACGTGGATCCTGGTCTAGTAAAGGAAATAATCACATGAACAAACAGTACAATAATTAAGTGCAACACCAATGGGAAGATTGATCAAATACTGGACATATGTCAATTACTGTATTAAACATGATGTACGACCATGTTAAACTGTCATCACACAGTCTATAAAACTCTAAGAATTGCTACAACCTCAGCTGTCTGAAGAAACTGTCTCAAAAAAAAGAAACTGTCTCCAAGTGATTGCTTCTTCTATTGCTACAGTCTATACAACAGATAATACATGAAGCCAACCTACTGCAGTGGCCACAAGCAACTAATCCAGGGCTAATGGCTCCAGCTGAGGGCAACCTACAGGCTGAGATCAAGCATCTAGAACAGCGGTTCTCAACCTGTGGGTCGCGACCCCTTTGGGGGGGGGGCTGTCAAACAACCCTTTCAGAGGGGTTGCCCGATTCATTACAGAAGCAAAATGAGTTATGAAGTAGTAACGAAAATAATTTTATGTTCTACAACATGAGGAACTATATTAAAGGGTCACAGCATTAGGAAGGTTGAGAACCACTGATCTAGAACATGACCTGGCTCAAAATTCTGCCCATAGGTCCTTCGGTGTGCAAGGTGACAAATCAATCCAAAAGGATATTCTCTCTTGGGAAATATTCCAATCTGGGCATCACCCCCGAGCTCCAGACAGCCGTCTTTCTTCCTTAGTCAAAGACAAGACCCTACACTGTTCTTAGGTACTGGCAAGTGACTGACTCAGAGCAACCCATGTACAACAGAATGAAACAATGCCAGTCATGTGCCATCCTCACAAGTGTTGTTTGAGCCTATCGCTGCAGTCACTGTAGCAAGTCATCTTACTGAGGGTTTTCCCTGTTTTCTCCAACCCGTGCCCTTTTCTAGGAACTGGTCTCTCCTGAGGAGTCCTGGTGGCACAGTGGTTATGGGATGGGCTGCTTGCCACAGGTCAGCAGTTCAAAACCACCAGCCGTTCTGTGGGGAGCAAAAAAATGACACTTTCTACTCCCGTAAAGAATGACAGTCTTGGAAACTCAGAGGCAATTCTACCCTGCCATATAAGGTCACTATGAATTGGAAAATCAACTGGTTTGCAGTACTTTGGTGTTTTTTTTAAATCTCTCCCGATTACACGTTTAAAGTGTGTGAGACATAAAGGATCTTAATCTCTACATTATTCACCAAAGTCTAGAACAGAAATTGATTAATAAAAATTAGCTGAATGAATGAAAGATGGATGAATGATCTCAGAGGCTGCAGAAACATTTTACAGAGGTTTGGGGGAAGAGTTACAATAAAATGGGCTCCTGGGATCATTTACAAGTAATTATTTATAATGAGAAATCCCTGGGTGGTGCAAAGCAGTGACATATTTGGCTGCTAACCAGAAGACTGGGGGCGGTTCCAGTCCACCCAAACAAGAAGAAAGGTCTGGAGATATACTTCCGAAAACTCAATCATGGAAAAGCCTATGGAGCACAACACACGGGTCACCGTGACTCAGTCAACAGCAAGTGGTTTCATTTGCAGCAAAATAACAGCTGGCAAAAACAATGATTTGGATGGGGCTGGTGACAGACTTCAAGATTGTGAAGGCATAGGAGCCCACAGGTGCTGCCAGGTAAGCATTGGACTAATAACGCCAAGGTCAGTGGTTCAAATTCACTAGCTGCCCCAGGGATAAAGATGTGGCTACCTGTTCCCATAAAGATTTAAACCCTCCAAATCGCTATGTAGGGTCACTGAGTCATAAAGGAGTCAATGGCAGTAGGTTTGGTTTTTGTTTTAGTTTAGGTAGATAGGGAAGGAGCCCTGGTGGCACTGTCTGGTAAGCACAGGACTGCTAAAAACAAGGTTGACAGTTCAAAACTCACCAGCTCTTTGCTCCAGTAATGATTTACAGCCTTGAAAATCCTGTATAGAGTTGCTGTGAGTCAGAATTGACACACAAGGCAGTGGATTAGGCTCAAAAATGGTACTTCAGGAAGTCTAGAGCAGTGAGTGGGTGAAGAGGCTAGAAGCTCAATAGGGGCCAGGACACCCAGGGCCACAGTACTCCTCAGGCCCTGTACTCACCTATCACTTCTGAACCTGCATTTGACCTTTCCCATTTACTGTGAGCCCCTCAAGGTCCCCCAATGACACAACAAGTTAAGCACTAGGCAAGGTGTCTCCGAAGAAATCATAGCTATATTCCTCTGCATTTGCAAACAGGTAAATGAATTCTCATGAAGCACAAATATACCTGAAAAGGATGTACACGGTTAACTTGGTTTTCAACCACACTCTGTGCATCATCTCACAATAGTGATTTGAAATTGGGTAGGGCTTTTCCTTGATGACTGTTAAAAAACTTCTACTGTAAATTCCTTTAAAGATCGTCCTCTTGTTACTGTGATGCTCCCAAGGCTCAAACATATGATCTACTAGAAATCTATTTTGAATCCACTCTATTAGTGACCTACTCTGTGTTACCATAGTAAAATACAAGGAAACATATTGATATACACGTCACAGATAAGGCAAAGTTAGCAAAATCTTGGCCAAACAGAATGACAGGAAAAACAATTTCAATTTATGTACAGTCATGAAACTCAGCAGTTGAATTTACAAGGCTTCATGCACACATGCATTCTCACACACCCCCGCAAGGAAAAAAAAGCTAATCCCAATATTTAATTTTCTCCTCCCCCCACCTAATAAAACCCTAACTGCCCAATATCTAATTTAATACTCTCAAACCAATGAATGCTGAGTGGTGAGTTAGTTTTTCCCTATGAAATGTTGGGCATCATTGTTTGGCCACATCATAGTTTGCACTATTATCTAAAAACACATGGCTAGAACCAACACCAGGGAAAACCACACTGGTAATCCAAGTTCTCCGTGAAAACAGGAACTTTTTCAACAGATGTAAAGTCATATTCTCCACAGGCTGGGTGCGATCAAACCACATTGTGTTCCACATGTCTTATATGTTATGACAAACAAGGGGGGGGGCCAGGACCCTACTGCAAATTAGTCACCCCGCTAAGCTGTTACAATATAATCCAATTCCATCTACTTCACAGAAAAAAAAACAAAACCGAAATCCCCTGCAGCCGGTAACCCTTCTCGTGCGTATTTTCAGCAATTACCCCC